CACATAGTCTAGAACCAGCCACCTCTGCAAAGCCCCACCATGGCCACAGGTTGTTTTGGGAGAACATCCACACACAGCCACAACAGCCTTTGATGAGTTTCTACAAGGCACACATTTCCTCACCTGGCACACAACTGATTCTGCGGGGGTGTGCACTCACCTAACCCACCTGATACCTTCTGGTGCACTAGTGTTCTTCAAGATGCTATGAATTCAGAACATGAAAATGGCAGCATCAAAAACACACCATCCAATCACGGAGCCAGAAAACAACAGCATTCCAAGGCACTGTGCTTCCTGACTTTTTTCTCATCTCTAAAAGTAGTATGATTTTTTCCTATCGCTAAGACGCCTTACCAGCCAGACACAGTGGTATGCACTTCAGTCCCAGCTATTCTGGAAGGCAAGACAAGTGGGTTACCCGGCCGCCCGACTGGGGCCACTCGCCACTCCTATCTCAAAGAACAAGCACTGAAAATGCGGCTGCCTTCCTGGTTCCATCCCTAGTACCACCCACCCAAGAGACACAGAGACAGGTAAAGTAAGTTAAACACACGTCAGCAATGCAATGAGCTCTAACAAATATTTTAAGAGCATAAAAATGTAAGAAGCACTACATTCTTGAATTTATCAGACAAGTAAGCCATACACAGACTACCAATTAGCTGAAGTACAGTGTAACTAGGGAGAAATAATTTGATTTATTAAAATTGTGACAAGCAACAATTAAACACTTTTTAAAATAATTTTAAGCTAATGTAGACATCAAAGCAGAATTGATAATATTCAACATCTGCTTTTTATTTTTAAAATTGTTTTGGGGGGTTGCAGGAAATAAACCCAAGGCTTCTTGTATACCAGGTAAGGATTATACCACCAAGTGGTCTCCTATGCCCTTGAATTTTAAAAGTTCCTAATAAACCAAAAATACATTGATCTCTTTTGTTGTTTACACAACAAAAGGTTGGCTTAATGCTTAATGGTGAAATGCACACACATATTCCAATAACGTCAGCACTGAAGGAAACATTAAAGGAATGAGTAGGGCAAGATGCTCATCATCACAATGTTCTAGAAGTTCTAGCCAGCAGGACTGGTGGCGCACGTCTGCCACCAGCATTTGGGAGGCTGAGCCAGGAAGACTGCCATGAGTTTGGGGCCAGCCTGGGCTACATTTTGAGTTCAAGGCCAGCCTAGACCCTGTCTCAAAAAAAAAAAGTTGCTCCAGCCAATGCCATTAAAACAATCTAGCTCCAGAACACATCCTTTAGTTTTCCAAGTGAAAACTTATAAAGACCATTTAAAGGCTTTTAGTGTCCTGAAGGAAAAATGAGGATAAGTAACATGGAGAGTTTAAATCACAAGATCAATTAAATAAATGAAAATGAGGCCCAAAACAAATATTTCCTACTCAAACCAACAGACACAAGTAATATTTACAAGCCAACCACACATAACACACCTGCTGGCCCAGCTACATGGAAAGCTGCAGTAGGAGGATCACCTGAACCAGAAATACACTGGATGTCAGCCGGGGCAACAGAGTAAGATCGGTCTCAAAACAAAACAAACACAAAAACACAAAAAAGCTAAAGATTTCATGGATTCAGAGAATTGTCCTATAGTTACAGATCAGTAAGTTGTTAATGAAAATTTTTTCTTAAAAAAATTTTTTTGAGACAGAGTGTCACTATGTATCCTAGGCTGGCCTCAACCCCAGGACAATTCTCCTGCCTCAGCCTCCTGAGTGCTAGATTAGAGGCATGCACCACAAAATTCCACTTCCAAAAGCCAAGTATCAGAAAATACTCATAGATACTCTTTAAAGACATGTTATGTTAAATATGCATTATACACACTCTCCTGTATTCTTTCTGAAACTGCAAAACATATCTGCCCTGAAGATTTTCAGTGAGAGCCTACTTTTATATTATTTTCTTAGAAATAATGATTAATAATGAAATACACAGAGAGACACACATATACTTCTAAATATATACATTTTAAAGTCAGCTAGCCAAACTCCCCATAATATCTGATGGCTCCAGAGGGACCAAGAGTTCAGCTGGCATGCCTGTCAAAGCCAATAATCACCACGGAATGCTCCAATTCTTCCAGAACTAACTTGGGTTGGTTAAGAGCATGTTCACTAGGAGGACTCACTCACAGGCCAGTTTCTCCACCAGGAAGTTCTGCCTGCACTGGCACAGCTACACTGCCCCACCTTGGCCCTGTACTTCCTACTCGAATATCTGAATAAATCAATGATGGGTGACATCATCTACCACTTCACATATCCCTATCAGAGGTCTATTTGTTAACATACAATTCAAGTCCCTTGAGCCCTCATTAGAGAGGTAAAGAAAGGATAAGAAGATATAGAATGTAAGAAAACCCAGCCAGCTGCATTAAACAGGGAATCCAGTGGTTCACACCAGTAAGAAGCTAAAGGTATTCCGGGTCAGGGAAGGGCAGCTCTAAGAGCTCAACTGAAGCGACAGGGCACAGGTTTTCTCAGCTCTACTCCTTCAGTTTGGCATCTCATACAACCAGCTCTCCTGGGGGTCAGAGGATGGCTGCCAGAGGTCTAATACGTTCTCAGGTCGAACTTCAGAAATGAAAAGAAAAGGTACTTTTATCCCCACTCTTCTACCCAGCATCCTAAGACTGACTCTGACTGATCTGGCTTAGGCTGCATGCGCATATGCCATGGTTCCCTTAGGCAGGACGCCTATGTCAGACAACTATCAACATATAGAGGAAATAATGCAGTTTCTCTTAGTGATTTAAATTTCTTATACCATGAAATGATGGTATTACTGCAGGAGTAAAACGTACTATGCAACCTTCCTATCATCTTTCAAAGGTACTTTCCCGTCTTCATCACAACCCACGAAGAAAAAAATGTAGCTAGGAGTGCAGCTCAGTGGGAAAGCCTATGTCTGGATCATCAGCCAAAGCAGGGCCATCGATTCTTTCCTGAACACACTGTCAGGTTTTTGTTTTGTTTTGATTTTTTGTGGAGGTTTTTGTTTTGTTTTTTGGTGTGTGTGTTTTGCCTTATTTGGTCTTTTTGAGACAGGGTCTCACTATGCAGTTCAGGAGTTCATGTTGTAGCCCAGGCTGGTCTCGAACTTGCTACAATTCTCCTGCCTCAGCCTCTAGAATGCTGGGATTATAGGTGTGTGCCACCACACCCAGCTACATTATCACTTTTTGAAGGATTCAAAATGTACCATCAGATTATCTGATAACAGTCCAAACACAGGTACATGATTTTCCTTCTTGATATGACTGAAAAACTCCCACTGATTTTCAAGAAAGTTATTTTATAATTCTTCTAAACTGTAACAGTAGGATTTAAAAGAAAAACAGAGGCATATGTGGCTATCTTGAATTGGGGGGAGGTGATGTGTTTCACAGAACTTTAAAATATAAGCAACCAGATGCTCAAGACACCTTCCTACACTCACATTCACCTCACCCCCACTCTGCCCCTCACACACAACAGCCCCAGGCCAGGACACACACCTGGGGACTCTCCATGTGAACACACATTGTAAACACAACTAGAAATCATTCCTAAATGATGTTTCTTATCATCCATGTTAACATTTCTATCATTAGAAAAAAAATGGTAAGACATTGTTTTTCTCACAGAAGAATGTGGAATGTGGAAAGTTAACACTCAAACATACAGGAGAGAAGCTCATTCTGATGTTAAGGTTGAACCAAAACCACAAGGCAAAATCCAAGCAACATCTTTTAAGGGTAGAATTAACCACCTGAACACATCTTATACACTAGTCATCTTGCAGAAAAAGTCAAGCTTCCCTCATCCTGGGGGGAACTTGGTTAAAGAAAAGAATGTGAATTAAAAGAAAATCTATTAAACTTTAGGTTTTGATTAATAAATTTTTAAAAATCTATGCAATTATGCAGTTCTGAAAACTGGCTTTCCAAGTACTCTACTGTCCAAAGAATTCAACTCAGTTAATATGTATTTGGAGGCATAATTAAGAAGCCAGTACCTGGGGGGCTGGAATATAGCTCAGCAGCACAGCACCTGCCTGGCAAGTACAAGGTCATGAGCTGCAATCCCTGGTATCAAAAAAAAAAAAAAAAAAAAAAAAGAACATAACAGTGCCTATGTTAGACACACAAGAATATACATATGGCACTGGACTTCATGAAATTTAATACTGTGCTGCAAAAGCAACATACACCAACCACCATTACCAAACACAAAACAAAATCAAGTAGAAATGCACGCTTCAAGGTAATCCAAACAGGAAGAAATCAAATTAACCTAGATGATTTCTGGAGCAAATAGAAAATTTCAAGGGAAAACTGCTTACACAAGAGGGAAATTCAAGTAGGTGGCTCCAGATATGGACACTGGGCTACAGTTCTACCGCATTTCTGCAAGCCTCTTGGTTCTGCCCTTTTCACATAAGGCATCACCTTCTGGCTCCTCACAAGAAAGCTGCAGCAGTTCCAGAGGCACATCCAAATAAAACAAGCACTATGGCGATGAGAAACCGTCTATTTCCTTCTTTTTCTCAAAAGCAAGAAAACCTTTCCCAGATGCTTCTTGCAGACCTCACTTTTATACCCCGTTTGTCCAAACTGGCCATTGGCTCTTCTAAAACAGTCACTTTCAAAGAGACTAAAACATGCTACAACCAAGACTGGAACGGCTGCTGTTCAATATCATGACCACTCCTCCAGTCCTGACTGAGTATTTCAAAGACAATTATTTCAGGTCTCGAACTGGGGAAGAAATAAAAGGGAAAAAAACACAGGTAAAGGAAGGGACTGGCTAAATAAGAGGAAGCCAAACCCTGAAATCACACATCAAACTGTTAGAATGATACACTTGTTATCATTCTCTGTACTGCAAAATTAATTTGTCAGTAAACAGGAAGAACAGAGGGAAAACAGTCTCTTAAGAAAAAGACTTAGGCTGTTCAGTTACCAGAGACGACAGTCAGACTTACCACTCCTCGTTCAGTTAGGTCCAGGGTGAGAACAATCCACACTACACACCCAGATGACTTGCAGACACATTATCAGAGTCGTTTCTCAGTAATTTCTTCATGTGGGTTCCAGGTTCCACTCAAAAAACCCATCAACTCAGAACTGACCCTATGTGCAAAGAAAAGCATGCAATTAGGAGGCAAAAGTTGCAGAGTGCAATTCTTTCCAACCCCACCTATAATTAACTGATACATGTGAAATCTAAACTCAAAACACTAGACTTACTAAGCACCACGTTTAAGCCAAACAACCTACATTTTAATGCCTGTAATGTGCTTACTATAAAGAGTTACCACCCTTTTCCCATCACATAAATTTTATTGTTATTTCCACAGTATACCAGGTACACCTCTTATCGAGGATGCCCACTGGGTAGAAACCAAATCACACCATGTGAACGCACAACAGAGCCTATACAGTGTGTTGAAGGGTTGCTGCCTACCTTTACAAATGTCAGGAATTAACAATAAAATCCAGGTTTCTGACCTCTCCTGAAAATTAAGATTCAGCAATCCTGTATCCACACTCCCACAAAGTAACCATCTGTCAGCTGAGTAGAGGCTAACTCCTAAGATGGGACCCAGGCTCTGCAGTTCTCCACATATGTCACCACTCTCTGACAGTACAACTTTTACTCACAGTTACCTGTCTGGAGCCCATAAACAGGTGGGCTTGCAAATTCTGCTGTATAGGTATATCCTACACACAATTACTTGACAATAATATATTGTCTATTGTCAGAGCCAGGCATGTTTTCTTACTTTGAGAATATACATAATATACCTCAAGGGTTAACAGCACGAACTCTGGAGTCAGAAGGCACTAGGTTGGAGTTCTAATTCTGAAACTGACTGGCTGTGTCACCCTGAACCTGTGTTTAAGATATTGTGCCTTCATTTACAAGCATCCAACTAAAAACACAGCATTTAAAGCAGCAAACAAAGAACAGACTTAAAACCTAACACGTCATCCTATGTCTTCCTCATGATCCATGTGTCACTGCACAGCATATAAACTGAAAACCTAAGTACAGGTATTACGATAGTCTCACCATCACAAGCAGCCAAGTATCAGCAGATCACAAGCTGCTAGCTGACTGGACCATGACCCAAAAAGGAAGAGGTGGAGATGTAACCAGTCAAACTATTTCCAAACTTATTCTCCTTTCCTGACCATCAATACTCACTGGTTCAAAGCTCTCTGAACCAAAGCAGTTCGGAGTGCTGCTTCATGCATTTACTTGAACACTGCTAAATTTAAATTGTCTAAAGTTTAACATAGCTAAAAATTGGGACTAACAATTCCCTATCAACAGGTGAGTGGAGAAACATATGGTACAATGCAGCCATTCATTCAATGGACTATTAACTGTAACTTTTAAAAAATGAACTATTATGTATTCATCAATAAATGAATCTCAATGTAACTAGAAGGCAAAAAGCCACACAGGACTCCCAGTGTTGCTCACCAGAAAACACTTAACACACACCAGGCCCCAGGTGAAACATCCAGCATCACAAACACACACAACAATATACACTATAGAATTCATCTGTATGAAGTCTAGAAATGAAAACTAAATTCCGCGATAGGAAGCAGAGCAGCAGATGGCACAGGGCTAAGGACAGGTGGGTACACAGAGGAACTACCGAGGGACCCAAAGACATGGCTAGCTTTTGGATACTTTCAATAGTTTCTTCTTGTTTGCTTTTCATGGAACTGAGATCGAACGGGGGCTGGAGCACAAACAGGCAAATGCTCTACCAATGAGGCTACATCCCCAGCTTCAATTTTCATATCCTCATGCAATACTTCTACAGGCATAAGCATATGTCAACGTTTATCAAACTGAATGCTATAAATCTGTACAATTACTTTCACGGCTTGTTTGTTTGGTACTGGGGATCAAACTCACAACCTTGCACTTGCCAGGCAGGCACTTATGCCACTAAGCTAAGTCCCAGCCCTAATTTCACATTTTAAAAAGAAATAATTCTGGGCAGAATATGACAGCAAAGGCCTGTAGTCCTAATACTCAGGAGGCTTACACCAGAGGATTGCTGAGAGTTCAGCCTGGACTACAGATCAAGTTCAAGGCCAGCCTACACTACAAAGTGAGACCTTGTCTCAAAAAACAAAAAAATTAAAAAATTAAAAATTAAGAAAGAAAAGGTGATTGTATGAATCTAATGATTAGTGGCAAGATTGCCCTATATGAAAAGGAGGACCTATTCAATGCATTATGTTTGAAAATCATGGTCACAACCTTTCTTAACCCTAAGGATCACAAACATTAACTGCTGATCACAGAGAAAGCATATATGACAAAAATAACACCCCATCCTAGAATAATCTCACATGAGTAAAAAAGAATCTGGTAGATTTCAGTATTATTTATTCAATTACAGTCCATACAGTCCCTCAATCCTTCGGTACATTTGATAGTAACTAGACTTTAAAATTAAGTCATTTTGCTGTCAACCAAAAAGACATGCTAATCATTTAATGAGCATTCATCTGGGTATCACTAGTATAAACTTCAAATTATGCTTTGGTTCATGAAAAAGTTATGAACCCATAATTAAAAATTTTGGCATGTACTGGTGATTTTTGTATCACATTAAATGCCATCTCTAATATCCTCTGCCTGTTATACTGAAGAAACAGAGCAAATCACATTATTTCCTTAGCTAAATTTCACCACTAAATTTTATTTTACACAACACCAAAATCTCTCCACACAGTTCCATCCTCCAAATTAATCAGTCTTTGTTCCATCATACTGCTATGAAAAAAATGCAGAGGTCATCAGGCTGTCAGGATAGCAATTCTAAAATCCCACTGAGAAGACTAACAATGATCCTACTGAATCTTCAGATCCTCTTACAAATGTAAAAATATTACGTTTAAGGGCCAAACCACTGCAGTTCAAAACCTTTAGTTTAAATTGATGAAATACAGGAAGACAAAGTTCTAAGTTGTACCAAAACAAGTTCTGGTTTTCCACTTTCCCCCAATCAATAATGGCTTACATTAGTAGGACCTGAGCCTTTTAAACTCCTCTATAATGTTGAATGAAAAATATGTATTTAAGCACATGTCCCATTCATTTGCTTATTTAAAGTCAAACACCAATTCACTTTTTCTTCTCAAAGAAATACAGGTCTGTCAGGGACAAATATCTGGCCCCATCTATAAGGAATCAAAAGGGGGGGAGGGAAAGAAAAAGAGTGAGAGGGAGAAGAAGGGAGAGGGGGAAAGAGAGAGAAGCAATCGGGCAGCAAGCAATCAATCTAGTGCCATCTCCTCATTTTACAGACTCAGGTAAAGAAATCCATCCAAACTCACATTAACTGATCAGTATAATGCCTATTAGCACTATACTGTTGTAGTGTCATTTATTTCCCCTGTACTGTAAATACAGTAGCAAGCAAGCCAGGCACAGTAGTATATGTCTATAACCCCAGCTATTCAGCTACACCAGGAGGATTTCAAATTCAAGATGAACTTGGGCAATTTAGTGAACTCCTGACTCCAAGCCAAACTAAAGAAATAAAAGTATAAATAGGGCTGATACTTAGCTTAGTGGCAGAACACCTGCCTACCTTGCATGAGCCCCAGGGCTGATCACTGGGTGAGAAAGGTGGGTGTGGTATATGTATATAACCATTCACTTAAGTAGTGTAACAGAAAAGTTAACTGGACAACTAATTATGCAGGCAATGGTGACACTGTTAACGTGGCTCATTGTATTCTGGCCTGCCTTTTACTATTGTTTACTGGTACTGTTAACATTCCCAGGCCCTAAAAAACATATAAGATATAATCAGTTTACAAAAATCGATAGAGGTGAGGGTGGCTGTAGATGAGACAAAAAATTTAAACCCAGAGAAGAACTTATTTCTAATTGCTGGGGTTTCAGATCTGGTGGAAAAGGATGAGTTTGCCTTACTAAGAAACAGAAAAAGAATGAATTTTTAAATGTGGACTGTTGATGGGAAAGCAAAGTGGTAAAACCATTCTGAAAATAGTTTAGTAATTCTCATACAAGGCACACACATCTGTATCACGCTTCTTAACAAGCCTATTGCCAAGAGAACTAAAAACACCTGTTCACAGGACTATGGGTACAAGAGGCAGTAAAAGGCAACAGTTAGCGACTTTGGGGTAAAACTGTCAGGTCAGAATCCCAGCTTTGCCACTTATGAAATGAGTGAAGGCTGGGCAACTTATTCGCCCTCTTTGTAGCTCACTTTCCTAAACGGTAGAGGAGAAATAATTCAGACGCTTACTGGGAGGATTAAGCTAATACACTTAGCATAGCTTCCAATTCTGACTACAATGGAGAATTTCAGGGAAGTTATTCTACTTGAAATTTAGTTTCACTGACTATTAAATAAAGACAACACTATTTCCTTCAGCCATTACAAGGATGTGAAGCATATGAAGTCAAGATTCAAAATCAACATTGAAAAAACAACTGCCAAGTGTGGTAGTGCATGTTTGTAATCCCAGCACTCGGAAGGCTGAGGCAAAGAGGTCTACCTTGAATCTGAGGCCAGCTTTGGCTTCATAGTGAGACCCTATCTCAAAAAATACAAATAAATAATTTAAAAATCAACAAGTTAAACCAGGTATGGGGCACACACCTGTACTCCCTGCACTGAGCACAGCAAGGGGTCTGAGGCAGGCCTACTGCAAGTCTGGGGTCAGCCCAAGCAACACAGGGAGTTCAACTACCTGCCATGAACCTTCCCCAAAAAATGCAAGAACAAAAGATCCAAAAGCTTTCTATATATTAATAATGAACTAAATGAGAAGGAAATTTCTTTTAAAACTCAATTCACAATTAAAAACAAACAAGCCCTAGAAAACAGCCTAATCAAGGAAATTAAAACACCTCTTCAGAGAAAATAGTACACTGCAGACATTAGAAGATGGACAGACCCTTCCATGTTCATGAACTGGCAGAATGAATGGCCATACTATCAAAAGCCATATGCAGAATCAGCACAACCTCCAACAAAATTCCAGTGATATTCCTCACTTAACTAGGAAAAAACCAAAACTCACATGGAAACACAGAAGAATGTGCACAGCAACCTGTG